AATAGACTTTTTCCTTCTTGAGCATCTTCAACGTAGCAGAAGCATAGTGAGCAGATGCCAGATCCGGCCAACACAATAGAAGATCATGTTGGCCGGTGTTGGCCGGATCTGGTATGCTTTCGGTAGATGGGTAAAATGATTCAGAGTAGTTGGCATTTCTTTAAACGGAGTATTCCCAGATCTTTCTATTGACTTCTTTATTCATACCCACAAAGGGGTATCCAGGCCTCGCTTTTTATAGACCTCTTGAGGTTTCCTTTCACCTTAGTTATGGCTATTAGTTGATTTTCTGTCTGACATCAGAGATTATCTATCAACAAAAGTACTGAAGAGCTCCTGCACAGGTGAGTGATTAGTGTGAACAAAATACGCAAAGTGTTTACAGAATAAGCAACCCAGTACTTAGTATATTCAACCGGTGGAAACTAACGATTTTAAATTGGCTCACATTGGACTAGTCTATCGGTCCCAAGTACATACCCCATTCTAGTATACATTCTAGTACTACACTATGTTTGTTTTGATTCGCTATGAAAGTTTGACAGATACAATGAGGGGCTCGTGGATTTTTCTATGTTTCGAGAGGTGCATCGATTAGCTTGGGACCGAAAAGAGTACCAGAGCTGTGCCAAAAAGATGAGCACGTTTCTTCGGGAACTTCTGGCCTTAGAGTTACCTGGTATTATTCCCTACCCACAAAGACCCTTCAGAGTAGCCGGGGGGTAAAAAAATGGCAGCGGACGTTAAATTTTGATATCTACACGTCATCTTCGTTCCAAAAATACCCATACTGTTGGGTATTTGACAGTTTTCCTAAAACCAATAGCCACCATCTTGGATTCCAACATCGACATTCAACGTCTACACATCTTTCCTGTTTCGGAAATACCCATATTGAAGCGTATTTGACAGTTTTTTTTTATTCAAAAACGAGTTTTCACATATACGAGCCGTTCTCGTTCCGGAAATACCCACACACTTAGAAATTATTATTTTTACACGAGACGTACTTCAGCTTTGACGTAAATCATGGAACGTTAACAAACATGGCATGTAAAATTAAGTGTCCTGGAACTGAAACATATGCAACTCGACGAAAAGTTCGTTTGATTGAATTGATTTTCTCGTCCTGTTCAACTGATTCTTATGTCAAAAAGGCCGCTTACATGTGTCGATCTCAGGGCACTGAAATTTACGTGTCTTTTTTGTAGTGTGCATATTGTATACACTTAGACACATTCATGTAAATTTAGGTGCTCTGAGAGTGACATATACGAGCGTCAATTTTAACATAAATCAAACGTATTTTTCGTCGAGCAACGACCTTTTCAGTCTCGGAGCACAATATTATATGACATGTTTGATTACGTCTCATCTTTTATCTCTAAGTGTGTAAAGTGGGTATTAGTTTTTTTTTAACAGATGGCTGCCATCTTGGATTCCAAAGCGGCACCGGTGGTGTAGTGGTAAGCGTGATTGTCTCTCACCCCAAACGGCCTGGGTTCAATCCCAGTCGGCCCTCCAGGACTTTCAGAGGCATAAAATCTCTGATCACTCCTTCCTTCGGAAGGGAAGTAAAGCCGTTGGTTCCGGGTCCATGAGTTGATGGGTCGATAAGTAGGGTCCAGGTGTGTGAACTGCCTCCCTGGCGTCAGTAGCATTGGTACTCAGTACAGAAAATCTTCGATTCCAAAATGATATCCGGCCTCTACACGGCCCCATGATCCGGAAATAGCCACATTGCTCAGCAACATACTCTATGGGCAGGCTTTCAAGGCCTAGTATATTCAGGAAGTTCGCATGCACACTTGCACCACGTAGTGCGAGAGTTCTGAACTATTTAATATGAACACCATCCATCCGGAGGACCAGGACCTGCTATGATAGTAACCTTCTATATGGCCACGATCTCGAGATACAGCTTATACAGGAAGTTATGGGCACCATAGCGCCACGTAGTGTGAGAGCTCTGAACTAATATGAGTTGCATCCGAAAGGACTTGGTCACCTGAACAACTATGCTCAAGACAGCAACTTCTACGTCAAGATCTCTTGACGTAGAAAGTTGCTGTCTTGAGCATAGTTGTTCAGGTGACCAAGTCCTTTGGGATGCAACTCATATTAGTTCAGAGCTCTCACACTACGTGGCGTGGGACTTAAATTCCATATATTATAGCGCCCGTCAGAAGTAATTTGAAAGTCAAGTGCCTCTAGCGCCGTTGTTCCCAATTAAACCTGAATCGAATGGTACAGGTTTTTATATAATGCGTTTATTTTTTCAGGCTCATTTACTGTAGCTTTGCGGAGCCGATATTCATTGTTTAGATCACAAAATTACTTAAAACTAACGTTAGTAAAGCGGGGACCGATTACTCGAAGCTATCTCGAGGTTAGGGGTATCAAATTGTAACAAATGGATGGCATGGTAGGGATTGAGAACACAAGGTTTGGAGAGCAATGTGCTCTTGATCTCGAACTAAGCGACATACTGATGAAAAAGACAAACATTGGGGTACACCGATGGGCAGCCAACAACTTGGGAGAACACAAGATGACACTAACTATAAATTAAATTCAAACAGTCGAGATCTTGGCTCACCAAGACATCTCTAACGAGTATCGCGGGTTGTTTTCCTCGGGGCCCTGAGTGATGTGGATAACTCAGATCTGCCAACACGGTGTAGGGTACATGACCAAACAACATGCTCGATATCGTGATAACCACACGCACATAAATTGCTGCCTAAGAGCCCAATTCGATGAAAGTGCGAGTCTAACGAACAGTGATTGGACATAAGCCTTGACATACCGCGTATAAAGTCGCGGTTCATGTCCAATCCTTTGAACCTTGGTTTGTTCGACACCTGTGGGAGAATAGGATGTAACTATCACCATCATTCCATTTTTGTTGGAATGACACAGGTTTGTTGGTTCAACCCAGTACAACAACTTTGTCCAAGACAGTATAGCTTTATATATTAATTCCTGCAAAGAGAAGCGAGCAGAGCAGATAGGAACTTAGTATGAACCTCTACCGTCGACCTCTACTCTTCTTCATCTTCTTTCCTTTATTTAACGTCGGTCTCTGTTCCGCAATCTAGTGCCAATCACCGACGGACATCGATTGCCATCCATTGACGGCAATCGAATGTGCAGGAAGGAAGCTTCCACACCTGCGTAGGATATCGCACCCATTCAAACACACCTCCCGAAGGAAGATGTGACCAAAGATTTTTATGTCTCAGAAAAATCCCACCGACCTCAGCTGGAATTGAACCCAGATCCATTGGGGTGAGAAAACAGTCACGCTTATCACTATACCACCGGCGCCGACCGACCTCTACCACTTGTATACACTCATTTTTTATTGCTGGAAACCAGCAAAATTTTGCTGGATTTTGCCGAGCTGTATAACCAGCAATCCTTACAGCAAAGTGAATTTTGCTGGCTTTCCAGCAAATATTTTTTGACAGAAGGTTGCTGGAAAATCAGTAATTTCTTTGTTGAAAAAATGAGGTTGATTTTGCTGGAATTTCAGCAATTACGCAATTACGAGAAGCTTTTCTCGTTTTAATAAGAAAAACAGGGAATCAATGCATCAAGTAGTTAGATAAATCACTTAAACCCTCTTTTATTCAGTCGTTATTGAAATAACTCTACACAAAACTATTGATTATCTTTAAGTTCTTCTCCATTCGCACGTAAGCATCTTCTCCATGTTTCTACCGAATTTATCTAGAATAAAAGGTAATCTGTTACTAGATAATATTTCCTTCAAAATATTCCCCTGTCTTACCGTTATTATTATGCAAAATAGGTATAATAGCCAAACAATTATAATCCAGTTAAAATTTCACAACGCAACGCTTTTTGTAAGCGGTCTTCCAACAAATTAACTAGAACCACAAGTCTTTTTGACAGTTCATGATTTGCTGGTTTTCGGCAAAAACAACGGATTACTGAATTTTCAGTAATTAAAAAGTTGTTAGCTGTTATTTCAGCTAAAATCGTTTTGCTTGATCATTTTCAGCAAACCATTTTGCTGGAAGATGAAAACAGAATTTGGTGGATTATAATCTGAGAAAAATCAAAACCACGTGATATTTTGGGCGAATGTGTATTGAAATATTTCAAAGTAACACGCGACAAGCTTGTGTCAAAATTGTGTAGCAAGGATGGTACGCGTGCGATCTGCGATACTCATACAATAACACTCTCTCTCTCTCACTTTCGAATCTGTTTTGTTTATTGACGTTATACAGAACACCATCGATGTGCATTTGTAGATGACAACAATACGAAGTTTTCATTTGTTTTGATCATAAAAACGTATTTTTATTGTGTCTTCGTATCTTAAGAGCAAGAAAAGAATGTGCTTAATATATTGGCGTATGTGGTCATTCAACTAGGAAAGAACAGTTTTGGAGTTTGCGACCTGGAAGGTACGTGCCCACTGACACGTATGATGAAACACTGAGAATGATTGTTGGCTTTATCGTGTGGAATTGAAACTAATGATTATGTGCTTATTTGGTATTTAGTTATATCTAATGCCTTTCACTGCACTACTAGTGCAACGTCTGTGTAAAAGAATTCAAAAGGCTCAATTAAGACAAGCACTCAGAGAGAACGTTTAATAAGACAGGCATACATGATATTGCATCGAATCACTTCAGTTTTGCAATAGTTTAAATCTCAAAACTGAATTCCCTACCGATTATGGTTGTTTTGTTTCAAATATCTAGATAGAGCTGGAATTAGGGCGTAACAGCTTTTGTAAACAATGACTTCTATCGATGATTTCTGGGAACTCAATGCATGCCCACGCAGACCAACATAACCATCTGATAGTGGAAGTCTTTCCCTACCCGATGAGGATGTTGGTTTGCGTGGGCGAGCCTTGAATTTCTAGAAATCATCGATAGAAGTCATTGTTTACAAAAGCTGTTACGCCCTAATTCCAGCTCTATCTAGATATATGGAATGATTTAACTGAAAATAAAGTACACGTTCGACCGCCACTGTAACGCATTTGACTGTATATGCTTCGATAATGAGCTTCGACTTTATATCATTCAGAGAGGAGAAAGTCACGTAGCCTTAGGTTTCTGAACCCGCATACAATTCGAACAAACAATTTACTTATTTTTTTTAAACATTATTGTTTTGATTCATTGTAGATCGTTCAGCATGGAAATGTTAACAATCTAGTGTCGCAACCGTGTCCACTATGGAAGGTGATCCGAATCTGAAATCGGAGCATGCAGAGATACGTTCGTTTGTGCTGTTCAAAAACGTCACCCAGAGGACGGTGGACATTTACTGGGTGAACTATTCGTCCAAATTTGTCCATTACTCGGAATTGGCTCCGGATGCCCAGGTACCGGTCAACACGTACGTTACCCATCCGTGGGTGTTCGTTGATAAGCTGACCGGTGAACGGATGCTGGTCAAAAGCAAACCGGTGTACAATCCGGAACCGTGGTACACGAATATTGACGCAAACGGTAAGCTGAACCGAATCGAAGTTCGAATACATTATCCTCTAAGAAGCTTGAAAGGTATCTGCACGTGGAAAGTGTTCTCCTCGCTGCAAGATAAGCATCACTTTATCGAGCTGGATGTTCCAAAGACTCTGATCGACGATCTGAGGTCGTGCTATAATCTCTATCTGATGAGTAGTAAGTTAGGCAAGTAAGGAACACGTGATGTAGATTTATTTTAAGGGTAGTTTTTAAGAGAAATTTTAGGGAAATTTTCCGGGACAATATTCCAAGAATATTACATGAAATGGAATCGAGGGGCAATGTTCTCTAAATAAATGTAACGGAGTGAAAATCAGACTAGACATTCGTTTTTATTTTCAGATCCACAATATTTGCCTTAAATGAATAACATAGTTTTAAAATACAAAAATAGTCTTCGATAAATCTTATCCGAAACAGTTGACTGGAAAAGTTTGTTTTTCTTTTGATTTCGTCACATGCCTGCCGTATGCTAAACACTGCTGCGGTTTCTTCGCCTGTATATTTATTCGAATGATAAAACTTTACGCTCCGTTTTTCGTTCTAATTTACCACCAAGTAAATATACCTAAGAAACATTTATATTTTTAAATTTCGTTTTATACTACAGCTCACTGGCTCCTTCTTCAATAATAGACCTTTCATTTCACTAAAACACGGCTACGGGGTAGAAGACTTTAAAGATTTGTTTTGTTCTCTCAATGTTCAACCTCTAGATAAAACCTACTCGATGTGATCTTGCTTTTGGATTCTCGCAAAGGTATGCTCTCCTCGGAGAGCGCGCGATTCATGAACTCCGGGGAGGCATAGCTTTGCAATTGTAATTTTGTACTTTTCTCTTTTGAATACACCTAAACGGTCGCAACACATTTTGGAACATTTCGTTTCGTTTTTTTTTTTAGGTTATCAGAAAAGAGCGATTTTACGTTTAATTGACTTTGGAATAAACTTAAGCGAATGGTGTGTTGCACAAGTCTGTATCAGCAAGAACATTTACCAATAATCCAAAATTCCATATAAATAACTGATTGTCCCTGTTCATGATATTATCGGATGTTGAAAAATAATTCTTCCGAACTGAAAGATTCGAATATTGCAAAGTTTCGTCATCACTCGTCGTTTGCAACATAGAAATGTATCATCATCTTCCGCTTGCTTGTATAATGTTCCGAATGTGTTGCGACGCAACGACGGCGTGAAACATTTCATCCAGATTAACTATGAAACTTTTCGATATGCCTCGACAGCGTTTGCGGCGTCTTGTACACGTTGTAGCAAAAGTTGCACACCAGCTTTATGGGTGGCACCTGCTGATGATGTTGCTGCTGCTGCTGTTGGAACGACGACGCGTTGAGGCACATCGAGTTCGTCAGGCCGAAAAGGTTCTGAATCTGCATGTTCGCCTGCAGCTCGGTCTTGATGCGACTCAGGTTGTTGACTCTGTCCTGGAAGAATGGAACTGTATTAGGCAAGGTTCGTCAAAAGTTCTTGGAAAGTCACAACGAAACGTGTTAGAAACAAACAGACAAAAAGCCAAAAGTAGTCACTTTTACGAAGCATTTATTATTTGCTTTATTTGTAACGTAGGTCTAATAAACCGAAAACAGTAAATAAAATTTCTATCAATAAAAGTTCATAATTCTAAACGGAAGCAGTCCTTTTGAGTAATATGTAATTGCATGCCATGAATCGAGAGATATGCTTAATTCTAAACTTTACATGTATATCAAAAATTCAATTCATGAGTGAGTGACGGTTGTTAGATGCACCTATTTAGAGATAAAAAAAAAATGCGAAAAACTAGGTAATTGCAAAGTTCAAATAAACAGAACGAAAGTTTTTCTAGATGAAAAAAGCCATCGATAAAATTTCACACATTCTCATTCTATTACATCATACATAAGTAACATCAGAAAATCTATTCGGGTTCTGGTTTTACTTCAATGTTTTGCTCGACATCGACCGTTTTCCCATTGGGATGAGCACGTTGCTGTTGCTGCTGTTGATGTTGCTGTTGCTGCTGTTGATGGTGCTGGTGCATTTCTTCGCTTAAGCTCAGAAGATCGGAAACCTGCAGAAAGAAGGGTAAACATTGAAGTGTGGGCGTTAGAAAGTTTTAAAAAGTCGGCTCCAAACATTTGGTTCTTCATTCTAACTCATACGATGCGTCTCCATGGAAGGGAAGTCAAAGGCATTTGGCGTCTTCAGTGAAGTTCGCTGAACGAACGTGAAACGTAATTTTCACCTGAGAAAGTATGATGGAAAATATTTACCTTTGCAGGTAAATATTAAGTGAAATTTTATTGCAGTGTTTTTGTTCTTAAAGTGTCTTGGCGCCTGAAAGGAATCATCAGGAGATCTCCAGATTATTTTTTTTAAATCTAAGGTTTTATATAGAATCACACGTCCCATACGTGGTATCTACGTGAAGTACTAATTGGTCTTGCCATCCCAAGCAACATTCCAAGTTTTAGCATGGTTTTATAGCATTCTACACGTCTAAATCATGGTCTACAGAACCCTCATTGTTACTTGGTATTGTTAATGAAAACCATCACGATTGGGAACGACACAGTCACCTCCTTTAAAACTTAGAGATTTTTCGTATGAACGCTTATATGAAACCATTAGTTTCGACTTGGTTCCATAATGTGGCGCCAAATAACAGGGAGAAAGTGGGTAGCATGACTCAGAGATATGATGAGCACCTCAATATCAACAACAAAAAATTTTTTTTTTATAAATATGGTATAAATTGCAGCTTTCCTAATGTTTTCCTAGGTCATGAACATATTAAATAATTAATGTTGAGGTCGTAAACGATCACACTGAAAGAGACATCATGATGATTGAAAATGATAATGATATTTGGCATAAGTCGAACCAAGGATAATTGAAAACTGTTAGAACATAGTAAGCGTTGGTATAATTGTTCAATAAAACTTCATTCATTACTTGCACTCTAGCTTGAGTAGACGTTTCTATCAGGTTATGGGCCCAGGGAAGTTTCCATAGTTAAATATTTGCTTCCTCCTAGCGATGTCTTCTCCATTGGTACGCATAGGTCCGAGTGGACCAGCTCCAGCAATTCAGTGGATCGCCTATTCACCGACTTGAATGGTTGCTTGTGGTGCTTACCTTCATAGACGATGCCAGCCGGATAACACAAACTTACTTCCTGAAATCCAAAGCTGAGGCATTTTATGCGTTCGTGCAATTCAAAGCGTATGTCGAGAAGCAGACAGGCAAATCTATCAAGCGTTTGCGAATCAACAAGGGAACCGAATATGTCGGAAATAAATTTGAGCAATTCTTGAAGGTATGCGGCATCGGTCACGAGACCTCGGTTGCCTACAATCCGCACCAAAACGGGAAGGATGAACCGAACGATCGAAGAACGCTGCTGAATTGAACAAGCGGTTTTGGGTTGCAGCAACCTCAACGGCGGTGTTCTTGATTAACAGATCGCCAACAAAAGGTAAGAAGAACTCACTGGAACGATGCCAGACGTTTCAAATCTACGAGTTTTCGGATCGAGGGCGATGGCGTATGTCCCAAAAGTTAATCGGAAGAAATGGGATCCGAAGTCGAGGTCGTGTATCCTGGTTGGCTATGCTTACTGTTCCAAAGGATACCGAGTGTACGACCCAACAACGAGGCAAGTATTCGTGAATCGTGATGTGATCATCCTGAGCGCAGAGAGGGAACACCCGGAGCGGACCGCGGAACCAGAGCAGGCAGATGAAGAGAAAGACGCTGACAGGACGCCATCTCGAGTTTTGGCCTCCGACAATGATGACGATTCCGATGCAGTTGCATTGCAGCAGTTCAATGCGCTCTCTCCATAATCAACTCGGAACATTTCTCAACCTACCACGAGGCGCAGCGCGAGGGAGCGCAAAGTACCAGGCACCTGGCTTTAAGGTGACGTATGCTTCCTCGGAATCTTGCCCTTTCACAGGACCATCATGGCCAAGTGAGTCAAGCGACGTTCATCACTGCACTCCCGTCACACGAAAAGGAAGAAAATATTGGACCGCAACACGATTCTGGGCATATAACTGGGAGCGCCCAGTCAGAGACATGTGGAGCAATAATTCAATTAGCAATGGTATGTTTCCGTCATCCTCTACTCCACAGATTGCTAGCGAACCCGAGACGCTGTAGCAGGCATTGGAACGACCAGACCGCGATGACTGGATCGGCGCAATGGAGGCCGAGCATCGGTCGTTGTGCGATACCGACACATCCCAAGTAACCAAAAGTTCCGCATTCAACGATTAAAATCAATTCCAAGATCAGTAAAGTTCAAATAAAGTCCCGACCAAACCTTCAAGTTCCACAAAGTTCAAATAAAGTTCCGACAGAACTTTCAAGTTCCATAAAGTTCAAATAAAGTCCTGACAGAACTTTCAAGTTCCATAAAGTTCGAATAAAGTTCCGACAGAACTTTCAAGCCACATGAAGCGATCCGCACAAGTCTTTATTAGTAACAAAATTTAATGTACGTAAATAAGAAATGATCAGTGGCCCGAATAAATCATTATTCTTATATGTATGCACTGCCGGTAATCGCAAGTCAGTCCCATCTGCATTTTTATCAATTTTGAGTTAGCATCATTATTCAGTTTATCATTCTATGTTTTTTGAGATGTGCTATTGAAAAAATGTGGTTTGTTCAAGAAAAATGAAAAACAATACCAAGTCAAATTGTCCCACAGCGAAAAGTAACCGCAAGTCAGTCCCATTAGAAAAAAATATATTTGAAATGTTAGACAACACATCGCATCATGAGATTTGTCTCAATACAGCTTTTTTCCACTTCCCCTAGGGTATCTGGTACATGTCCGGATGTGGCCAATATAGTTCTTACGATACTCAGTTTGACCGCCAATGGATATGGCTTTGAATTATCATGTGATTTTTGATGTATCGCTTGATGGATTTTAATTAAAAAGGATTTACCACTTCCCCGGGTATACCCGGAACATGTCCGGGTGTGGCCAACATGGTGCTGGTCACTCATCATGACTCTTATTGATCTTATTTTTTGAATTCTCATGTGAATTGATTTATCGCATGGTGGGTTTGGCACGTTTGGCTCTGGTCTGATGTAGATCCATACTCACCGGAATATGTTCCGGCCATTGCTCTGGAACCAGCGGAACAAATCCAAAAACATTCAATAACGTTCTATAGGACAATAGTATCTTTCTACTGTTCAATACTGTGCTAAACTAATGCAGCATCGGCATGGAATTGTGACTGACTTGCGGTTATTTTTCTCATTGACGTTAAATGTAATCGCAAGTCAGTCCCACTCAGATTTTGGCCATAAAATAAAAATTTCACGATATTTTTCCAATATTTTTGGGTAAACATAGATGCTTTCTATCACATTGTACGTTTATTTTTAAATTTAGCCCTCCAAAATAAGTGTCAAACCAGAAAACTTGAAAAATCTTTGAACGCCGTTTTCTCATTTCCAGTTTTTTACAGATGGGACTGACTTGCGATTATGGGCAGTGCAGTGCATCAACATTCTACCCAAACATAAAAAAAATAATTAAAAAGTAATTTCCTGGATTCAAACCCGTGTATTCGTGTTGGAATACCATAAGGGCAAACACCAATTTAAAATTCAAGGTGTTGTGTTTCGTATTCAAGTCAGTCAGCTGGCACTGAAAACTCCAACAGTAGGCGGGACAACAGCTCACTTTATTATATCTCGGAAGACGCAGCGGTTCGTGCAGGGGCTCTCACGCAGAAGGACTGCGTTTAATTCTTCAAACAGCTCCAATTCTACTACTAATGCTGATAAATCAATACACATTAATACCAGCCTTTAGAAATAACTTTCATAAAAGTGCGAACGAAGTATAGAATTTGGTGAGGACAAAAACCTTTTTTTTATTTATTTTCTAAAAGTTCCGCCAGAAGCTGCTTAGAATGCTCTTCAATTATGATACCGGAACTTTCTTATAACGACTTAAAAATGAGGCTGCTTAGAATTCTATAGACCACCACCAACCAAGCTGCTTAAGCCACAAATAGCCTTTTATCAGAACTTTTGGTTACTTGAGATGGGACCTTGTTGATCTACCGGCGGGACGGAGAGCACTCAAAAATAAGTGGGTGTATGCGCTGAAGACGGGTCCGAATGGCTCCATCGAACTACATTTACTACCTCTTGGCAATGGCGGCCAAATACAATCTGCTGGTGTGCCAAATGGATGCGGTGACTGTATTCTTGCAGTGTGAACTTAATGGAGAGGAGATCTACATGGAACAACCGGAAGGGTTCCGGGACGCGCGGGAACCGACGAAGATGTGCCGACTCAAAAAGGCCTCGTACGGGTTGAAGCAGGAGAGCCGTATCTGGAACCAGAAGGTGGATCGGAAACTCAAGGCGATTGGGTTCCAGCGATCTAACTATGACTCCTGCGTGTACTTCCGGTTCGGCGACGGAAAGGTGACCATAATTTCTGTCTATGTGGACGACCTTCTACTGTTTTCCAACGATCAAGCCCTGGTGGACGAAGTCAAGCAACAACTGCACGGCGAATGAGAACGACCCAAATTTAAGTTTAGTTCACTAATAATCGCCAAAAGTGCAGGAACTCAGCGATGAGTAAATTTGCCCCATGTTTTCCCAGGATTTTCCAGGGAAAAATTCCCGAATTTGAGCAAAGTAAAAATTGAATTCACTCAGTCTATTGGTACTACTTCACTCAGTCTATTCCTACTACTACTACTAATTTTCGTCAATTTCCTCATTTTCCGGCAGATTTTTTAGGTTTTCCACAGGAAACCATGAGACAAATTTTACTCATCGCTGAGTTCCTGCACTGTTGGCGATTATGAGTGAACCAAAACTCAAATTTGGGTCGTTCTCATTCGCCGTGTGTGTTCAGAGTTCCAAATGAAGAACCTGGGGGACGTCAAGCACATATTGGGACTACGGGTCAACCGGTCCGATGGCATGGTAGCCATAGACCAGGAGCATTACATTGACAAATTTCTGCGGTATTTCCGAATGGAGGGATCCAACTCCGTACAATCCCTGGACGT